AGAAAACCATTGCCATTTCTTTTGCAAGGGTCTATTCCTCCAGCGAGGATTGTAGCTTGCCTTTACTGGTGCATTCTAAGTGGTCTGTCCTGCATATGCACCACCTGTCTCCCTCCCTTCCGCACTCTCCGGGGATGAGGAAATGAGGGAGAGCTGGTGGGAGAGAGGGAAAGAAAACTTTTTGCCTCCGTTCTTGACTGCTCGTTCCTGCCGCACTCCCAAAGGCAAAAAACGGCTCTTCGCTCTGTGCATGTGTAACAATGAAGATCATTTTAAACGAACTCGGAGAAGGGGCAGGCAGAAAAAACTGGTTGCCAGTAGGCTGCAATCCCAAGGGAATGGCCGCGAAAAACAGGTAGGTGGAATAAAACTGAACTACAAGCCTAGGCTTTGAGGAGACAATGAAATTCGAACGGCATTAAGCGATTTTTAGACAAAAGATGTGTAAACCAAATAATGAGCACATTTGTTGAGTACTTAAAAAGAATCTCAGGGTGATTCCTGTTCTTTAAAATTTACTAAAATGTAAAGTGAAGGCAGGATATAGCAGCTAATACGAACATTTGTTTGTCGGATTCAATGGTGGACCAAACGCTTCGAACGGGGATAAGGTTAAAAACACGTCAAGCAATACAATAATCTCAGGAACTAGGAGTAGATTAAAGATGTTCGAGCAAAGGCTAAGGAAGTTTGGATTGGAGCACAAGTGCCAATGAGGAAATTGGATGTCACGTCATTGCAATGCCTGTGCCTTTTCTGTGTACACAAACAAATGCCATGAAAAGGAATGGGCTAAGGGAGTTAAAGCCATGACTAAATAGAGGGGGGAAAGGGGAGAGAAGGCAATTAGATGGTCTGATGGGACGGTTGCCCTTCGTGACGGGCACGCATTGACTAGTGCCCTGCCTCCTCTAACACCTCCTCCTCCTACTCCCACAGACAGCCGTATCCCTTAATTATAAGGCCGTGATGCTCGCTTTGGGGAATTCACTTTTGAACTTTGAGAGAACAGTAGAGCGCTTAGAAATGAATGTCACCACACCAGTGACAGTCAAAACATGAACAATCCCAATTGATAGTCTAGTGGGGATGAGTACGCAATTTAAAGAATAGAATAAAAACAATAACGTTGTTTATCTGCTCTCACGGGTCATCATCACTAGAGAGAAGGCTGACCCGTTACAATTCCATGGGTAAATGATTAAGCACTAAAACTAAATGAATTTGTAGCGCAGAATTACGCAATCACTCCCATTAAAAATTGGACGTAAGTACCATTTCCCTTGTGGTTTGTGAGTGATCATTTAGGAGTGGACACTAGCTGAAAATTTGCACCACTGGAGAAGGAGCCTCTCTCTTTATTGGTACAATAACTGCTGGAAAGGTCCAAGACGCTTACACAGGAAAGTGACTCATTTAATAAGGTGAAAACAGTAGAAGGAAAAGTCTTTGAGAGCGACCCCTCTCCCCTCCTTCCCTTCAAACACAAATGCAGTGTGCATGCCGCCTCCTTCATTGCAAGTTGCCCTTTTTATCACCTAGCTTTTCGGCTATACGGCCACCTGGAGAGAGGAAGAGCTGTCAACGCGGCACGTGCATTAAGCGTTGTCTCCATGGTGTAGAATAGGCGCTCGACCACCCAAGAGAGGGCGACCACGCGCACCGGTCACCGGGCCGACAACATCCCTATGGGTGGTCGACTTCCGTCTGGAGCGATTACGACAGGCCCAGCTTTTGCCTGCAGAGTGAAAGGGGATAGAGAGTGGGGAAGGGAAAGGACACTACCCAGGAAGCGCCACTTAATCAAACACTCGTCAACCAAGATTGGCCCGACATGGAACCGTTAAAAAGTCTAGTTTCCTCAGATCAGAGATTTGGAAGCAAATTAATAGCGATCTTGATCTTAAAAAAAAAACATACACGGCCAGACCATCACTGGTTTTGCATTAAATTTTCTTTGAGGTTTTCTAATTTTGTAAGAACAAATATACTAGATTCAAATTTGAGTATTATTGTGCCATGGAAACCAATAGATAAATGAATTCACCAATAACAGAAAAGCGGCAGATTCCTGAGGAATAAAAGTAGTGAAATATGAAATATGAAATTAAACCGACGATTCCCATGGCAAGTAGCTTTAGCCTCATCCTCAGAAAACTCAGGGTTCAACGGATTACATTCACTGATAAACATAAAAAAGCAAATCTCAAATAAGCGTTGGTTCGACTAGGATCGACAAAGTCAAATTGTGACGAGAACCAAAATTCGGTTTTGTCAAACTTTAAAAAAGGACGTGACACAAATCATCACAAAAAGGTCGCGATGGTGAATAAATTTGCTTCGTAGTCCGTTAGTCAGGAAAAAATTACATTGCACCGCATCAGGTTCTATCAGAGGCGATTGCGCCTTTTATAAATCAGATGTGTTAGGTTTAGCTCTATGACAAAGCATCGACTATGCTTGGGGTTGGAGAAGAGGGAACACAACCACGGTATGCAGCACGCGTATGCGCAGTCAGCGGGTCCGAGGTTGGGAACTGAGACGGGGCTAGCCGACTGAGTGATGGAGGTGAAAAATAGGGTGGAATGGGATACCCCCTTATTAAAAAGACCACAAACAGCCAAAAAAGAAGCCTAGGTACTCGAAGCGTAAATGGGGTGGAACCAAGCATCAGAGTTTGCCAAGCCGAGTCATTTCACCGGAAATGAGAAGGTAGATAACAAATCGTTGCATAGGAGAGAAAGGTGAGGTCATTTTTTTTTAGCTTTTACTGTATTGAGTTATCCGTAGTGATGTGTTGCTTAGAAGACAAAAACTCAAGTGCCCAACCATACACAATACTAATAGGTGCCATATTTGTTTGCCATGTTAATAAAGATCCTTTGATTGAGTCAAATACAGTGTTACAAAGGGCGCAGATAGCCTTTGTGTAAAACAATGCTAAATTAATGTATTAAGTCATGCAAAACAATCGTACCAAAAGGAGATGATGTATGGCTATTTTAGAAAACGTGGTATTTCAATTTTGCAACCAAAAAAAACCTTTAATAAAACAACACACCACCAAATGCTAATTTGGCTGTCTGACGAAACGCCTACTTCTTAAGCCTACCAAAAACAACCTAATTTTTACGTTTCACTTTTCGATTTCGAGAATTCCCTCATTAAAAATGCAACATTAATTACTCGCCTAGGTCTACGCTACTAACTATGGTTTCTGAGAGGAAATGCTCCTGATTCAGAAAGACAATGTTGGCGATTAAGGGACACTCAGGTAAATACTTATTCTATTCAAGTAGTACAACGGAAAAGGACGAAAATATGATTCCAATGATCCCAAAACCAAACAACGTATCGAATAGAAAGCATTCTTGATTTTTCGGACACTTAAAAAGAACGACATGCTATAATACCATTTGCCTCTGTAATGACGCCACTAAAATGTCGCGCTATATGAATTTAAAGTACCCTTGTGAATAACCTCACTTGAAAAGAATCAAGGGGCAATAGCTGAAAAATGAAATTTCGAGAAGAGTAGAGAGCACTACTGGTGTGAATATCATACCATGTGACATTTATCTGTGAATTTTGCATCACTAAAATAATTCGCAGTAGACGTACGTGCAAGTGTGTGTGTGTGTGTACGTGTACAGGGAAAGAGGAAAAAGTAGTCAAGCGAGCCATTTGACAAAACAACAATATTAACACATCCTACCATCACCCAGACCACCCAGGAGGTTCGGTTGCGGTGGCTGCGTGAAAGTAGAAAGTTGTTTGTCCAGAGAGATTGGGGTATTGTTAATTAAATTTGTCAAAGGTGGGTGGCCCGGATGTGGAATGAGGAAGAGGGCAATGGATCGGACAGAGGGGAGCGGGAGGTATTGTACAGCAGGCCGACTACTACCTCCCTTGGCCACCCACGTGGATAGGGCAAGTTGTCTTTTACTGCTGCTGTCATTTTTATGGCCTCTCCAATGGCAACTTATTTGCACAGTACGTAGATCATAAATTATAGTCGGGATTTCATGGAAGAAAGGCTTGCTAGGGATAAGTACAGATATGCTGCTGCATCATAAAGAGAACGCGATTCGACCAATCTGTCATAAAGTTCGTGGAATTTTTACAGGTACACAAAGCCCATCTAGCAGGTGCATAAGCAAAACATAATTACCTCCAAATGAACATACGCTAGTGCTACTGCTGGAAGGCTTTAAAATGTGAAAAGTACTATGATTGCCTGTTTGGCGATGCTAGCAGCATTCGCCATGTGTAAAACGCGGAGGAAGTTTCTCACCCTGCGTAGGGTAGAGCGGGGTCACTGGACTCACCCGGAACGCGTTCTAATACTGTTGGCCAGTTTGGCTGCGACAGTCTGCATGATTGATTGAGTACGATCGCAGGAGAGGAGTCCATCATCACCGTCACTGCCATTTTTATCTGCATTGACCTGGGCGGCAGTAGAGATCCCCAGAAGGAGCACCAACTCCGCATGGATGTGAGAGAGATTGCACAGAGCAGTGATCATTGCACTCTGGAGGGCTGAGCGGAGACAAGCATAGGCAAACTAATGACGTCTGCTCCGAGTGTAAACCGAAAAAATCATTCATGACGCTCTCAATAAACCTTATAGATGGTCAAATGTGGACAACTCGAGATGATTGCTGTCAAATGAAGGGCATATTCAATACCTAGGCGTAATATAAGCATCAACACAATGCACAATTTCAATAGACCGCGATACATATTGAGGTAGAAAAGTAGGAGTCTCAACCCATGCAACCGACTTGCCATTCGATAAATCTATTCACTAAAATTTAAAGTTAAAAGACCTCCGAGCATTTTTTTTCATAATAAAATCCTTTATAAACAGCGACATTTAAAATCAGATATCAAGTATACACCCACTGAAAAACATCCTATTTCAAAATTTCCCTTCTTTTAAAAGAAAAAAAAGGAGGTGATTTTCAAGGTTTACAAGTCTAGATAGCTCAATGATTTCAATGAAACAAGTCTACGGTAGGAAAGAAGTTCTACACCCTGATATCATAAAAAGTCGCGTTATGCACGAAATAAAATATGCAAGTGATTGAACCTGGTTCCACAACGCCGAAACTATCATGATAGCAACTTAGTACTGAAACCAAACGAGTAGAATGACTTACCATTGTCGGGAGTGGTCTTGTCCAGAGGTGCACAAAGCCACGTGGTGCGGATGTTGACGTAGAGATCGATGAGCTTCACGGTCACTGCCTTCCATGAGGAGGAGACTCGCGACTTGAGATCCTCCACATTGGAGAAGCCAGCAGTCGCGTAGGCGCTGAAGACGTGAGCGTTCGCGTGCCGCGCCGCCCAGTCGGCATTGCTCACGAGGAGGAGAACTCCGCGTGCCTGAAAAAGCCACGTCGAGGCAGGAAAATGACCTCCACAAGGGGTGCGTATGCTTCTTATCAAAGTGAACACGCCTTCAACACAAAGTCCTCTTGACGTCTTCGCCAGTATTTAGGGTGTCACAGCACCACCGACTTCGTTTAAGCATAGCTCACCTCTCCGATTGATTCAATAGTCAGCTTAAAAATCCTAGGAAAAAAAAAAACTAAAAATGTGTCCTTTAAGTAAATGGCATCCTTTGCCGAACAGATTGTTGCTAAGATTGGTGTCGAAAATGACCTCAAACACACTTACAATGGTAACGACGATAAGTTCAGTAGGGTAAAAATAAAAATAGTTGAATAGGTTTAAGCAGTCAAGTGACAGCTTAAACTGGCTTGCGTCTTATAGAGCTTACTTGAAATGCATTTCAGTTGCGACTTGAGAGAGGAAGAGCGACGCCTTATTTCTACCTAGCTACGCGTGAAACGCTGCTACTTTCTTTCAAGACTTGAATGTATTTATAAAAAGTAGCAGTGGTTGAAAGGCGTCAACAAGAGACTTCCTTCAATATGCAGCGTCAATGGGACTACGACTGAGTCAAGCAATGGTGCATCAAGAGAATACATAAAATTAACATCATAGAGCCGAGCGAAACCAGAGGACGTGAGTTTAAAACGCTGTAATTAACGAGTAAGATGCTAAAAAAGTTGGGATATGGTATTTAAAACTGATGAGCAAAGGCGAGAGGCCAGAAAGGGTGTTTGAGAGACGAAGGAGGAGTAGGCAGGGCAAAATATTGAACGATGAGGGAGCAGGAGGCAGGTTAATTAATGAGAACAGACAAGCGGAAGTGAGACCGCTTGTGCTACTTCCTGTTCACTGGTCAGTGCGTTAGTCCTCACCCTGTTCCCTCCTTCCCCTTCCCTCACCGCTCACACTTGCAACTCTGGCGTAATTTTGGGAGATGTGGAGGAAGCCACTTTAATTAAACAGGAAAGCAGGAATGTTGTTAAATAAAAAAATACTAGCAAAGTATGATGGAATAAAAGTGGAAGCAGAGAAATAATATCCAACGCATGAAATAACTAACATGAGTAGAACAAGGGTTATGGGTTAAGCGCCTAGTGTACATGTACATGGGTAAATTATATTCCACAAAGCAACTGCTAAGGAGCAAAACCATCCAGGACACAACTGGAGAAGACCCAACAGTTGAAGTTCATTAAAATTCTTGGCAAAAAATCAAATAGAGTGTCCAATCAAATGATAAAAATTAAGAACCACACGAATTGAGGAGAATTGTAGAAACACTGCTCAGACGATTAGAACGCCTAATTCAACTAAGCAGTGATGGTAGCATACCAGTTTAGGATTTTAAAAATAGAGAAAGAGGATTGAACTTACAAATCTTGACGGATATGGTTCACAGAAAGTAAATGCTAACGACCACCAAGCAAAGGTACATGTTTATACTATGTAATGAGGGTGAAAAACAAGCTCAGTTGAATGTCGACTAAAGTGCGAAACAAAGGGTTAATACCAATACGGTTAAGTTTGAATCATATGAGAGGAGGAAACTCGTACGTTTCGTTAGTGCGAGAAAGGGCGGGTATTTTAACCTCATTTGTGCATCAAGCCTATCGATGTGTGAGTTCTGTCAAAGACACTGCTAAAAGAAATAAAAATTGAACGGATGAAAAATATCTGTGCACACATTAAATAGATACCAAATCGTAAAAATTAAATCAGGCTTGTACCACTAAAATGAACGAGGAAGTTCTTGAAAATACATGCATTATGAGATTACATGAGGATTATCAAGGCTTTTCATTGTTTCACTTTCATGCACCAAAAACACTTCAAGTTGGCCTGAAGGCAGTAATTAAACCGAGTCACTAAGCGACAGAGGGAGCAATTTAAGCGTGTGATTAATTTAAATCAAGTCTCAGCTGTCAGGAGTGGTGTAAACAAATGGGGCAAAATCCATTAGCACATTGGAGTTGCGCAGTGTCAGCGCCAGAGAAAAAGCGTCATGTGGACGGACCAAACGAGGTGTGCACTTAGAGAATTCATGTAAACAAAGTGCAAATAAGTTCTGTAAATACAATGAAAGCAAGGAAAATTGTACCCAAAGTCAATCATGTGCATTGGCGTACGTTTTGGTAGCTAGACTTGGAAGACGGGAAAAACAGGTGGTTGAATCCTATATTTTTCATTACTATTTAGTTATTAGACAAGTAAGGGAATCAGTGAGTGGAATGACTTATTTAAAGATTGAGACTGTTGATGAAATCCCACAGTGTTCAGGGCGTAATTATCAACATACAGTTAATTAGAAAGCAGCATTAATTCTACTGATGGTGCGCACATAGTGGACACAAAGTGTAATTAGAGGAAGAGGGGTAAACGGGACGCATTTAGTGGAGGAAGAATGCGTGGTTAAACAACCGTGACAAATCGCGGGCGTGGGAAGGAAGGTGGAGTCACCCACCTGAGCAATAATGGGCCTCTGACCGACGGTTGGCTCCAAGGTCCCGAGGCCGTCCTGGTCGTCGTACTGCGACATCTCTGCGGCTCCGCCATGCCACGGCAATGAAAGCCTACAAAGTAGGGGACAAGGTTGAAGAATGCAACGAAGACCCGCAATGGTAGCGATAAAAATGGTTTCGGAGATGTGGAAAAAAGTATAGGGTTGGAAATTCATAAACTATCAATTCAAGTCGAATTATTTCGAGGGAAATTTTTATGTAAAACTGCAAGCGAGTTGAAATCCAATCTGCAGCTTACTTGATTTGTTCGGCCAAGTGCTGGAGGGTGCCAAGGAATCCCAACATGACGTCAGAAAATGATTGCGAGAAGCGTTCCTGGTACTCAGGTGCGTCGAAAAGCTGTAAGGGCGGGAGTGACACATTTACCATTCCAATTGATTAGGCCTGAGTACCAGTAGTAGAGATGAAAGCAAAATTTACGGAATTTTCCAGGGATGTTCGGGACGACATGAGAGTCTTGCAGCGAGACAGTGTTTCTGACACAGCATTTTCGTAGGCAAGTGGCTAAAAATAAGGGTCATGGTCATCCACAGTGATACTCTTTACATTTATTGTTTGCAAACTTGGTCTGAACTTGGCGATTTTGTGCTCAAGTTTAAATTCACTTACAACGTTGATTGTAGAAAAAAAGACAATAATAGGAAAACTTTAACGAAGGGATTGAGCCTTAATAGGTAGTCCCACTCAAACAGAAGAGGGCGGCAAGAGAAACGGAAAGGATAGAAGCAGATGGTCATTTTTCATCGAAAAACATATTCTAAATGCAGTTGTGTTCAATACCAATAAAGCTTGGTAAAAAACGTGAAAAAATAAAATTTTTACACGAAAACAAATGCAACATATCATGAAATTGAATTATGTAAAGCATGTTAAACAATCAAGCGAAAAAATCAGCTTTAAAATGTCATCTTTAGAGCTTAAATGAGTGTTTTCGTAGATGAAAACACATGCAATAGTGGTCAAATTTTGCCACTTGAAACAGAAACCGACATTAGCAAATAGGAATGAGTTCTCAATGCGAGCGATTATGGCAACGTTACAAAAAGGCGATTCTTAATAACGCTTATGAAAGCGCATACATAGTGGCATGTTTAATATGTAACAAATGAGGAAGAATGACAGTATAGAGGGATCCGCAAATCATTTGAAGATTGGGTGTGCGTTGTTGAGAATGAAACTACAGACGTGATCGGGCGTAACTTCCAGTTACAGTACGTACGAAGAAACACAGACTTTATAGAGCAATTGGAGTTTAAAGTTAAATTTAACATGACCTATCAAGAAATGAGATCTTTCCTGAATGATAAATTACGCATGAAACGAAAGAACTAGTAAGAGCCGGCTGCAAAAGTAAGCAGTAATTACGCCTTAGAACACAGTACAGAGAAGTATAATACTGTACTACTTTGCTTCAGCATCAGCTATCCAAAGCAAGCGAAACTCACTAGCTGTGTGATGCTGCCACCATCATCAGTAACCTCAACTTCCCAATTCTCTTTAAAGTGAAGCGACTCAGTGGCTAGAGTAAAAGATAAAGAGGCTTAAAATGTGCTACTGACGAATGGATAGTAGCAGCGGTGTTCTCGCATTACTGGTTTGAGAGGAGCGAAGGGCATCTCGAACGGCGTGTCGTCGAAGGTCATAGGAGAGGCGTCGTAGCACAGCTTGAGCATCCCTTGGCACAATATCTAGAGGCAGACTGAGACAGCAGTTTCTGGAGAATAAAAAAGAAGGCTAGAAGAGAGGAGACAGTAAGAAGAGTAGACCGGACCATGTTGGATACGCACCGGAACTCCTGCACACAGGTAGACGCCCAGCCAGAGGAAACAGTCTCCAGCGTTCCTACTGACGCCGGCTGAAGAACCACCTCACGTATACAGTTTGCCAACAGGTGAACCAGCTCAAGATTTATTGTCTAGACCGGAAAGCTTCATTAGAAATATGTGTAGCAGGAGCAGGATGCAGGATCACGGCTGAAAATCATCCACCTGATATTTGGCCTGCCGCGACTGCTGAGTATCAGTCCTCTCCAAGACATTGGGTTTAGATTTGGAAGATGCAGCGAGACAGACTGCTTGCAGACGCCAGAACTGAACACATTGGGTGGAGAGGAGATTGCAAGCTTGCTTCACCAGTTGTACGATCATTTGCTGGTTGCTCATACGACCTTCAAACAAAATTACTTCGGAAGCTTAAGATCCTATGAGGGATCAAATGAGCAGTAGAATTACGAAACTCGAGAAAGGAAGCCCAAACAATGGCTTATTGAGATAAACATGGCTGGTGCTTTTTCATCGCAGTACGTGAAGAAAGTATTTCAGTTATTTTAGATGGCTCTTTGTGCCGACCGCAAAATCATACATGGAATGTACGCATAGCTAAGCACTTTGCAAACAACCAATGCCCTGTGAAATCAGTAAAAAAAATTAGTTAAACGCGGTTGCGCCATGTCATAAGAGAGCACAGTTAAATGGAAAGGAAAATCAGGTACCTTTCACAGTAGAACACAAAATCGGTTGGGACGGCGTCTTAGAGATTTCCGATTGGGATGAAGAAGACACCTTGACCTCCTCCTGGTAGCGCTTTTGAAAGCCCCGTAATTGCTCAACGAGCCAATTTTTGAAAGCCTCCGCACATATCCAGTAGGGATCATAATCCACGTCCAGCTGCTCAAGACATCTGTGACAAAGAACAGTTTACGAGCCACTACCAAAACGGCAAAAAAGCAAATTAATGATCAGATTGTGAGGTAACAATGGACTTATTTTATGTGAAACGACAGTAATAAAACCCTCCATCGAATCAATGGTCGAGCTAGTAAAAATGAAAAAAGATTTGCACAAAGTACATCAAAAACAAACTTATTAATGGCTTCGAAATATCCACATGGCTTCAACAACCAAGAAGAGAAATGTGTCATTCTCTGTTTTACTTGAAAATTAGTTGTAGCAAGAAAGCAACACTGAAGAATTGAGAATCAATTAAGGTTTACTTTTGACTAGAATAGCCTAAAGTGAAGACGGCAATGCAAAGACAACGTCTTTCGAAAGAGTTAATCCTACTACACACTTGACAAAGCTAAATAAACTTAGGTACTTAATTCTCCTCATCGCCTCGTCAACATCGATGGGAACTTCCAGAAGTTCGGTTTTCAACGTGTTGCGAAACTGTGCCACGACATTCTCGATCTCCACGAAAACTAAATAAGAGGTAGAAGGGGATCTAACCATCCATTTTGGGAGACGCGAAGCTAAAGACTACAAATAATAATCACCTCGCTGGAAGGCTCCGCAATCTGAGGTCGAAAAGAGCGCCTTGGCCCTTTTGTAGTCACTTATGGCGAGGTTGTATTCGCCCTGTAGAGGATTAAACGATCAGTTTGAAATACGTCTTAACGGTAAATGAACAGTAATTACTTAACTGCTGTAAGCAAAACCCACTTCTTTGATAGTCTTCCGGATGGATTCGGGGAGACGGAAGAGAAAGCTAAAGCGCTCCATGATGCTGAGAACATTACGGGCCGAGTTGGCAGCCTCGCGACATCGCAAAACGTCCTTGAAGAGGTCGTAACCCTGGTTCCACGAATCTGGCAGAATGAAGCAGAGGGAATTGCTATGAATTGATAGTAAGAGGGAGGCTTAAAAGCAATAAGCCAGAGCACTTTTACTACCTAGAACCCAGTTAAAAAGAATTAAAATCTTTGCGAGGTTTATAATCATTAAAGACATTACGCCTGTGTAACATTAGCACAATATATCCACAGTATGAAACATCAATCAAGATAACTATGCAAATTCATCACAAACACCAATGTGCAAGGCAATGAAGATTATGGCGAATGCATCTCGTGATATTCAGCATAGTTGGCCTCACCCGTGAGTTTTTTCTCCAAGCGTGTTTCTACGGTACCTTCCTCGACCTTTGATCTGGTTTTCTGACCTAGGAAAACGGTAGACTGATAAGAAGCGTCGAAGGCAATAAGCAAGAAGGTGTCCGAAGTCCGATACAGCAGCAAGCACCAAAGCTAACCAAAACCACATACAGTGGGCTCCGGCACGAAAACGGTAGCAAAGCAATAAAAAAATAGGGTTAAGAAAACAAAGACCAAAACTAAGTCAGATGAAGTTTATCTAAAACCCCAGCCCAATCAATAGTCAAATGGAAAGCGATCACACAAGGGCTAACCTTCAAGGTCAGAAAAAGACCCAACTTCTAGACGGAAATCGTGCAAAAATACAGGCATTAATAATGATCTAAAAGAATCCACAAGTACAAATCTAAGGAATAGCAGAAACGCATCAGTTCTCACCACTTGGCTTGTATTCATAATTCCCGGGAACATTAGATCTTTTCATTTCGTTGCGTAAATCTGTAAGGAAACCGATGCTTTAGGTACACATGCGCCAAGTTTGATGCTCAAACAACTGCAGGCGGAGATAGGTACCTTCAAGGCCTTCGAGGCACCGAAAAATAAGGTAGAGGTTATTTTTTATGACGTGGCATGAGTCATGGCCACCAGATGCTGCAATGCTCCGACTGAAGTTGTTGCGGGCCATCACCAAGTCTTCAAAGCTAAATTAAAAAACAGGCGCGGATGAAGAAACAAGTAAGTTAATTAACAGATAAACACTGGTTACAAGTGAGCTAATTTCTTACAACAT